GGGGCTCGATTCCAGGACCCTGGGATCATGACCTGAGCCGAAGGCAGACGCTTAACCATCTGAGCCACCCAGGCGCCCCGTCAAATAAATAAAATCTTTAAAAAAAAATCTGTTTACGGTAAGTGTACATAGACAGTTTTTCTTTTAATATTTTCCTTGAAGTGAAAAGAAAGGTCTGATAGTAAGAGATATATATACATAACACATATATATAATGTTTTAAAGTATGAATAGGAAATTAACAGTTATGACAGGAAAAACAAATATGCCATACCCTGGGATTGAATATTTATTCAATTTCAACATAATATTTAATTCTGAGCTTCTGAGCAGCCAGTGAAAAGGGAAATACAATTTTTGTCATATGAACAGAAGAGGCAAACCATTTCTTTTTTCTGAATTTTAAAATGCATTAGCATAATTCTCAAATTGTGAATGTAGAGCACTAATTCTGCTGACTACTATCAGGATTAAGTTTAAAGATAATGGGCTAAATAAGATAAACAGACTTCTCTTTTTTCTTTTGTTAAAAGTTTTTTATTTTAATTCCAGTGTAGTTAACATACAGGTGTACAATATAGTGATTCAACAATTCTACACATTACTCAGTGTTCATTGAGATGAGTGTACTCTTTAATCCCCACCCCCTATTTCATCCATCCCCTCATCCACTTTCTGGTAACCATCCATTTGTTCTCTGTAGTTAAGAGTCTGTTTCTTGGCTTGTCTCTCTCTCTCGCTTCCCTCCCCCTTTTGTTTGTTTTGTTTCTTAAATTCCACATATGAATGAAATCATAATACTTGTTTTTCTCTGACTGACTTATTTTACTTAGCGTTATATACTGTCTAGTTCCATCCAAGTTGTTGCAAATGGCAAGATTTCATTCTTTTTTATGGCTGAGTATTATTCCGTGGTGTGTGTGTGTGTGTCACACAGACACACACCACATCTTCTTTATCCATTCATGTTTTTCAGTGGACTCTTGGGCTGCCTCCATCATTTGGCTATTGTAAATAATTCTTCAGTAAACATTGGGGTACATGCATCCTTTAGGCTTAGGGTTTTATATTCTTTGGGTAAATACCCATTACTGGATTGTAGACTAGTTCTATTTTTAATTTTTTGAGGACCCTCCATACTCTTTTCCAGAGCGGCTGCACAGTTTGTATTCCCACCAACAGTGCAAGAGGGTTCCCCTTTCTCCATACCCTTGCCAACACCTGTTGTTTCTTGTGTTGTTGATTTTAGCCATTCTGATAGGTGTGAGGTGATATTTCATTGTAGTTTTGATTTGCATTTCCCTGATGATGAATGATCTTGAGCATCTTTTTGTGTGTCTGTTGGCCATCCATATGTCTTCTTTGGAGAAATGTCTGTCCAAGTCTTCTGCCCATTTTTAAATTGGATTATTTTTTTTGTGTTAAGTTGTATAAGTTCTTTATATATTTTGGATATTAACCGTTTATCAGATATGTCATTTGTAAATATCTTCTCCCATTCAGTAGGTTGTCTTTTAGTTTTGTTGATTGTTTGCTTCATTGTGCAGAAGCTTTTTATTTTGATGTAGTCACAATAGTTTATTTTTGCTTTTTTCCCCCTTGCCTCAGGAGACATATCTAGAAAAATGTTGCTATGGCCCATGTCAGAGAAATTGCTGCTTCTGCTCTCTTCTAGGATTTTGATGGTTTCCTGTCCACATTTAGGTCTTTCATCAATTTTGAATTTATTTTTGTGTATGGTATAAGAAAGTGGTCCAGTTTCATTATTTTACATGTAGCTGTCCAGTTTTCCCAACACCTTCATTGAAGAGACTTTCACCAATTGCATATTCTTGTCTCTTTTGTTAAAGATTAATTGACCGTATAATCGTGGGTTTGTTTCTGGGTTTTCTGTTCTGTTCCATTGATCTATGTGTCTTATTTTTTGTGCCAGTACCATACTGTTTTGATTACTACAGCTTTGTATTATGACTTGAAGTATGGAATTGTGATGCCTCCAGGTTTTTCTTTTTCAAGAATGTTTTGGCTATTTGGGGTCTTTTGTGGTTCCATACAACTTTTAGGATTATTCATTGTAGTTCTGTGAAAAATGGTGTTGGTATTTTGATAGGCATTGTGTTAAATCTGTAGATTGCTTCTTTCATAAATGTTTTAGAGTACACTGATCAGTTCCAGTAGTTTTTTGGTGGAGTCTCTTGGGTTTTCTACATAGAGTATCATGCCATCTGCAAATAGTGAAAGTTTTACTTCTTACTAATTTGGATGCCGTTTACTCCTTTTTATTGTCATAAAGAGACTTCTTATATGTTTTCTCATAACCTTAAATATTCCTAACATGTATCTTGACTTTCTAAAAGAAAGATGGTGTTTCCCTAATTCATTATGCCATAAAGTAAATATTAAGCTTTGCAAAGTCCTGGCCTAAGTCCTTGAACAACATGATGGATTATGTCTTCAATACCATTTTTGCAGATGATATCACAATTGCTTTTTATTTGACCTTTCCTTCTGTTGATTTAAATTTTCTTTGAAACACAATCCAGGGGAAGGCTAACTTCTTTCAAGAAATCTAGATTCTCCCTATCCACCCGGAATTGCTGCTTTTGAAAAGCATGTGCAGGAATGCTTTGGGAGCTAAGTATTTCTGTTGTCTGCCAGCCTGCTGACCTGGGAGTTGGTCTAGGAGTCTCTCAGAGGCACGGTCATTCTAGACTGAGGCTGCTGAGGTTGATTTTATTTTTCCTAGTGTAACCTGACTCTCCAGGACCCACACCTACTAGGGCTACTGCTATTGCAATATGTAGCAAGGGCCTGAGCTCTCCACCTTCTCTCCAGAGGCCTGCTGGGACTAATTATTTTGAAAACACTAGTAACAGCATGCTTCCAGTTTAGTCCCCAGATGTAAGCTCTTTTGGTCTTCTTTGCTGCTCTTCAACCTGTTTGTCACACATTTCTTGTACCTTAATCAGCTCTCCCATTTCTTCTCTCCTCTCCTAAACATGTTTATTTGCTATTTAGAACACTTGTTCATGGGGAACAAATTATCCCCTGTTACATTAACCTCTGCTATGTTAACTTCCATCTCTTCATTTTTCTACCTCCTGGCCTTAACTTGATTGAGGTACATCTTTCAGTTGTTGCTTCTTTTTTCTGAAATACCTTGTGGGCATGAGGTTGGGCAAGACCAGTCAGCATTCTCTTCCATTTTCAGTGGTACATCCAGACTATTATTCCTCCACTCTAAAAGAACAGCAAGCAAGAACAACTTAATAAAATAAAATTCTGTTCTTTTGGGTCTTATGCCTTTTAATGTTCTTACTTATTGCTGTCAGTTTTCTCTCATTTGAAGATTTTGGTACCTGGATATCAACTTCATTTTCACCCCCAATCTTGCCATTATTCATTTGGTAGCATAGCCTATCCATCTGTAATTTCTTCAACTTGAATGCATTTGGACTTTATTTTTATATATAGTGTGAAGTACAGCTTCTTTCTTGGTGATCCACTGATGGGGAAGCGGTGATGGTAACTTGACCATTTGAGGGAATGATGCATATTAAAGTATATAAATCCCCCCATAAATTGATTGGCTCTAAGAAGATAAGGGCTGATAAAAATTCTCAGGAATGTTTAAAATGTTTAAAATGTTTTGTGTTTAATGTTTAATATGTTTTAAAATTTTTAATTTTATAGGAATGAAAGAGAACTGTCTTGAAATGGTGATAATCTGGCTATATCATAATCTTGGAAGGCAGCTATGCTCACCACCAACGCTGGCTGGCTATATCATAATCTTGAATCAAAGAGAGGGGTTAGCTATTTTGCTAACTGTAGTGTAGTAGAAAGAACATTGGATACTTTGAAGTCCAGCCGATTGCAAATCAGTTACTTTCTCTTTTTTCCTACTGCAAAGTGGAGAGTAATAACTAATTCATAAAGTTGTTGGGCTGATAAAGTCAATAATTGCATATAAGTGTATGTGTGTTTTGTAAACTTTGATGTTTAAGATCTAATAAAAATTAGAGAACTGGGGGGCCTGGGTGGCTCAGTCATTAAGCGTCTGCCTTTGGCTCAGGTCATGATCCCAGAGCCCTGGGATCGAGCCCCGCATTGGGCTCCCTGCTTGGCTGGAAGCCTACTTCTCCCTCTCCTACTCCCCTTGCTTGTGTTCCCTCTTGCTGTGTCTCTCTCTGTCAAAAAAATAAATAAAATCTTAAAAAAAAAAAATTAGAGTACTATTTTCTCCTAACGTGGGTCATAAGGTTGCATTTCAACATCACATTGTCTCCGTAAAAAACTTTGATTTCTCCATACCCTGTGTGTTTTTGTAGGAAAAAAAATTGTTTTAAAAAAGTATTTGTTATTTGTGGTACTTTAATCTGAATGATAATTGTTGGGGTTGGGGAACTCCAGGATCATCATTCTGTGCAGCTATTGTAAGTCTAAGGAAAAATAACTATTTCTTATGATCCTATACTTGAATTATACTGTTAATATATCCTTTTAATGTTTCATTTACAGGTATATGATGTTGATTGATGGCACAAATGAAGTTTTTATGATTGATAGAGATAATTCAGTGTTTCATGTTTCAAATCTGGAATTTCCATTTCGTAAAGATCTCCGTATACATTTATCAAATACTCTCTTGGATGGGGTAAGTCTTATGTTTTTTTTTAAATTAGACACTGCTATTTTTCTTTTTCTTTCAAGTAAATATATATATATTTTTTTTTTCTTAGTAGGGGGGCCAGAAGGAGAGGGAGACAAAGAATCTTAAGCAGGATCCATGTCAAGCGTGGAGCCCGAAGCGGGGCTCAGTGTCACAAGCCTGAGATCATGACCTGAGCTAAAATCAGGAGTTGGACACTTAACTGACTAAAGGCTCCCCTAAATGTGTATTTTTATTAATTCAATAGGAAACTTATAATCTAGTTTTTTAAAGATTTTTTTTGAGGTATAATTGACATATAAAGAAAGTAATCCAGTTTGTTATTAGGATGTTAAATTTTATTTATCTCTTACCTTCACTTACTCTCACTTGATCATTGTCTTGGCTATGAGAATAAGTGAACAAAATTAAATCTTAATTTTTTTTTTGCTCTTTGTGATTGAAAAAATAATTCTTGTTGAAAAGACTAATTTTATTTTATTGTTTTACTTGTCAATTGAATTTTAATTATGTGATACAACATATCACATTTCCCCTTGGCTTTTTAGGTGTAAGAACTAATAGTTGTTGTTTAAAGAGAATCATGCCTTTGAAAGCAATCACTATACTTTTTTTTTTTTTTTTAAAGATTTTATTTATTTGACAGAGAGAGAGGGAACACAAGCAGGGGGAGTGGGAGAGGGAGAAGCAGGCTTCCCGCTGAGCAGGGAGCCTGATGGGGGGCTCGATCCCAGGACCCTGGGATCATGACCTGAGCCGAAGGCAGATGCTTAACGACTAGGCCACCCAGGTGTCCCTGAATTTTCCCATTTCAGAAAATATATTTAATAATCATAAAATTACCTGATTAAAAATATTTTAACTTTCTCCCATATAAACAGCTTTCTTCCCAATTCTGAAAATACCTGTTCATTGTAAATAAAAATAAAAATGCTTTAGAATATTAGGAAAAATCTGGTAAAAATCACCAGACCTACTATTGGAGTAACTTCTATTACCATTTTGATGAACATTATTCCAGACTTTTCTCTGTGACAGAGTGTTCAGTCTTACCTCCGTTCCTGTGGAATGTAACATTCATATTAGTAAGAGCAACTCAGAACATAGATTCTTTAGTGTAGTCGGGTTCCTTTATAGTCCAATAAGATTCTGAATAATTGTGAAACCTCTGCCTTGGTTGAAAATGAGCGCTCTGGTGAAATATGTACACACATGTATAGTTAAATATTTTGTATGAAAAGAACCAAATGGTACATGTGTTTTGTAACTTGTCTTTTCCCCCCCACGTAGCAATTTGGTTTGGGTATCTTTCTCACATAAATGTCTGAATGGTATACCATTGTATATGTAAACACCATAGTTTGGGGTATCCAAACTCTCTTGACTGTGAAAATTGTGGTGGATGCTCTTTAAAACTATGACCCATCTCCATAACCCAACCTCAACCTAATGAATTAGACTCTCCCAGGGACAGAGTCATCTGTACTTTTAATAAGTGCCCAAGTGATTTTATTTTATTTTATTTTTTAAGATTTTATTTACTTATTTGACAGAGAGAGAAACAGC